CAGATTCCATCAATCCATCATGGTCGTCGTTCCGAGTCTGCAGCAACTTGCTTTTAGACAGCTCCATGGTGTCTGATGTAGCCGTAGTGCAGATAGGTAGATGAGGTCACCAAAATGCATGCCGGAGCCATTTTCATAGGAGTCTTTTCGAAGCACTACGGTCATGCCAGTCTTGATAACTTCCTACAGGTTTTCTCATCACGATGTGTCACGCTATAGCCCAGCCTGTTTGGGACCGAGGTCTGCGGAAGCGGGCTGCGTATAAGGGGACCTCGGCGTTTTGCCCGCAATTTGCGTTTTGGCCGCTCCCCGCTCATCAGCCTGTTTTTCACGTAGTGCGCGGTCGTGCAAAGCAGACATTTCGGTGGGATTTTTTTTTAACGTTTTCCGCTAAGGCCTCGTTCGCTTCATGGAGAATGAGCCCCCAGAAGAATTCCTCCTGTAATATCGGCTAACCGAACGGAGCCTAAACCACGCCTTCGACGCGGAACCATGGAACCAAATAGAGCCTATTATGAGACGTCACGATTATAAGTCAAGATGGATAGTATACAGGTGTGGATAAGGAGAGCTAAAAGACAAGATAAGATCCCCTTGCTAGAAGAGTCGGTTCATGCGAGGTCTCACCCGTAGTGATTATATCAGTAGTACATATCCCATCATTCTTGAAAGGCATGTGTAAGCTCATCAATCTCGCATATAGGATCGACGGTACACATCAAAAGAGATCCACCAAGGCCGAGAGTGGGAAGGGGAGATAGAGTCACCTCGTTGATTCCGCATCTAGTGACTAAATATATCTGACAGATATAGACCGACAAAATATATATGTTGACAGATTATGTAGCAATTTCCAAATATTTTGTATTTTGAGAGTAGATCGTAGTCGTAGCCAAAGAGGCCCAAAGTTTCAAAACATTAGAGCGTGTCAAATTAAACGGCATTGCAGGCAATAATGTAACGTAATGAAGATGAGCACGCACGTTCAATTGGCAAGTCCGCAAGTGGGTATGTACGTACAATATGGGCATGGCACATTTGCATGCATGTGGGGTATTTTCCTAGTTTCCCAGGGCTTAAAATATACTACTCGTTGAGCTATGTCAAAAAGGCCCTTTCCCATGCGGTCCAGCCAGCCGCTTTGCTTGCACGCACGAGGAGGAGGAGAGGAGGAAGCCGCCATCTCTGACCTCTGAAGTCGGGACGACCCTGCTCCCGTGCCGTCCTGACCTGCTGCTGCTGCTGCTGCTGCCGCTGCCGGCCTTGGCCTTTGCTTTGCACGGGTGCACGCTGCTCCTCTCCTCTCCTCCGCGCGCGCCCGTCGCCCGTGCCGTGCCGTGCGCCCCAGACACTGCCTGGATTTACCGGTCCCCGTCCTCGTGTCGGCCCCTCTGGCCCGTGCACTGTGCAGTGGCTGAGACCCGCCACCACTTGTCGCAGTCAAGCAGCCCAGCCGTCAGGCATATTTTCCCGCGACGACGACGATCCACGACGAAGGTGCGGTGCGGGCGTCATTTTCGTTTCGGCGCACGAATTCAACACACTTTTAGTAGAATCCCGATATACAATACGCCTAACCCAGTGCCAGTGGGAAGTGGCTACCATGGACTAGCGCATCACTAGCTAGTAGTAGAATAAGTAGCTTGAGCTCGCGAGACCTGCGGACTGCGGTTCAGCTCAGCATGCTTTACGACTCCATGCTTAGCATTATTTTACCGGAAACCAGATACCAGAACAGCCTATAAGAGCAGACTCTGTTTGATACACACTAACTAAATTTTAGCGAGCTACGTTAGCTAGCTAAACTTTAGCTGAGGGATGTTTAGATCCTCTAGCTAATAAAAAGACTTGATCGTGTTACCTCTCATTAATTCTATTATTTAGCTAGCTAAATTTTACTTGGGGTGTTTGGATCCTCTACCTAAATTTTATTGGGAGTAGTTTGGCCATCGAGGCCTTTTAGCTGGAATTAGTTGGGTTAAAACAGCTAAAGAGATTGTATACATTTACCCTCCGGTTAAAGTTTAGCTGGATTTAGCCGTAGACTGTTTAGATCCACTGTAGCTAAATTTAGATTCACCGTAGCTGCGCCCGGATCTTGTTCGCCGTAGATGCACACAACCATAATCATTATGCGCTACTACTAGTATCTTGCTGTTTTAGCAAGTGACCTCTCCCTCCGACTTTAAAAATTCGTCGTTTCATTTTCGTATGTGTGGACTGTGGATTTTTTTATAATAAAAAAGGCAGATGTGTGAATCCATTTGAGATGATCCACCAACCCGAGCCACCCTAAACTTTTGTACCAAAATACCAACATACCCTTTAACTTATAGTTTTATAAGTTGATTATGTTAAGTGATTCTCTAAAATAATTTAATACATTGGGGGCTGAAAATAACTAGTTTCTCTTGATTCACATTTAGCTACGGAATCACTTTTATCAAGTCCGTAGAAAAAATATATTGATAGCTATGATTCAAAATAAATGCAATATCAAGATATTTCATGGTGGGTTCGATAATATCATTTCATTGTTGTAATGTCGGTGTGTTTTCTATATGAATGTGGTCAACGTTAAGAGAAATTTAAGTTAAGACAAAACTAAAACGATATATATTTTTAAACCAGTAAATATAGTATTTGAGAAGTGGCATAATGTTCCATCCATTCCAAAATGTAGGCAATTTTAATTTTTTCTAAATTCAAATTCCTCTAACTTTGACTAGGTTTGTATGAAAATGCACCAACATCTACAACATTATGTTAGTTCCGTTAAATCCACCGAATTATTTCTTGATACTGCATTACTTGATTTTGCATATATTAATATATATTTTTCTAAAAACTTGCTCAAAGTTAGTGAAATTTGACTTCGACCAAAACTAAACAGATCTACTGTTATAGTCAGGAAGGAAAATCAAGGCAAAGTTCGAATCATTTTGAAAACAGGGGAATGATATTTAGGCCCCGTTCGCGTGCCCTTAAACCCGGCTTGATCCGCTTATTTTTTCATCCGGGACAGTATTTTTCTCTCACAAATTCCTTCAGCATTTCTCCAAACCATTTAGATTCCTCCAAAATTCAGACAAGCGAACAGGCCCTTAGGGTGAAAAGTATTCAGTCTATACTGTTATAATCTACTGTTATATCTCAGGATGAAAATTGAAGATAAAAGGAAAAGTTTGAAATGGTCCGAGGTGCTTTCCACCAAATATTTTCTCTCCTTTAGATATCCCTCCAAATCTCGCATCATTTGTACACGTCTAAATGTCTAAATAAAATGAGATAAAGTATAAACCCGGAGAGCGAAATGCAAGAAAGGCCTTTGCAAAAGCGCCCCTCACCTCCCGGACCGCTTCCCCTGAGCTGAGCTGCTGCCTAACAAGAACTTCCACACCACTTGCCCACCCTCTCTCTCTCTCTTTTCTCTCTGGATTCTGCCGGCTCTCCCTCGAACTCATCGAATCCTACATGGAGAACGCCGAGGGACCGTCCCCGGACTCCGGCGATCACGCGGTGAGATTCATTGGCCCTCCTTTGCCCTACTCCCCTGAGATTTCCCCCCTCCATTTCTCGTACAGTTTTTGGCTCATGCTTCTGCCAATTCCTTGCTTCGCGTGCGAAGACTACGCGGCACCGATTCCCACCTACTTGTTCTCATCTGCTTGGATTTAAATTGGAGCTTCAATTTTTACAGCTAAAACTCCAAAGATGCGACCTTTGCTGGTGAATTGTGGCCGAGCTGGGCGAATCTTTGTTCTGCTATTTTGCTCTTCGTTTTTTTCCCCTTCTTCTATTTCTCTTTTTTGGCAAACTAGATTAGGACCGGAAGATCGAATATTTCCTGCTTTGCTTCATCAGGCAGTGTTCCCTCGGCAGTGACTAATTGCTCTTGTTTGCCTAACTTGACTTCCTGCCACTGTGTCACATGAGCTAAAATTGGACTAGATTCTATTTTGAGGCCCTTTACCTTTCTGACGAAACTGCTGTAGTGTATCACTTTTCTAAATTTCCATGTACTAAGTAACTCTGTGATTATGTCCACCACAAGTATAGTTGTAGAATTCAATTGCGTGCATGTTTAGCTCAACATGTTCGGACTAATGTAATACCAGAAATTCAAAAAAAAAAAACTAATGTAATACCAGGCCAGATTCAGCATCTGACCGCGTGAATTCTCTAGATTACTCCTTAAAAACTAGCATTTTAAATTTACGATATTTCCATGTGGTTGTGCCGTTGTCAAGCAATAGGAATTAGGAATACCAATAGAAGATTTAATGGCCATGTTTCAGTCGAGAATGAGAGGAGTGATATGAGCTCGATGAGGTGTCATGGGTAAATGAAGCCCCTCTTTCATGGAAGTAATGGGGACTCCTCTTCTCGTCTCACTCATTTACCAAGCTTTGTCTGGCTTATTTGACCATGGTTGCTGGATGTATTGTCTACTTGATTGTGTAGGCACTGGTTCAGGATGGCAATGCCCAAACTACACCTGGGCATAATTCGCGAAGGCCAAACCTTTCTTTGCAAATACCAGCTAGGACCTTGGATACCAGTATACTGACTTCGACAAGAGTTACTATATCCTCCAGCCCCAGTTCAACGAGAGTGGGTTTGCCACCGAGACCTAATTCAACGAGAACAAAATCATCTATCAAGAACATCAATCCTCAGAACAGTTTCAGAGCAAGGAGTTCAGCCCAGGAAGGTGATCGAGTGGTCCTTCTAAATCCTGGGACGTCATCTGAAGGGCAGCAGGATAACCCAACCACAGCAAGATCGCTTTTTTTAGAAAGGTCATTAACTCATTATCGGCAAAAGGACTCATTCTCTTCCAGTAACGCCTGTAGGAACTACTGACAAGGCTGCATCTCCTGCAAATCAATTAGATACCCTGCCAACTACATCTGTAAGTACATATATTTTTCTGATAAGCTGTGCCCATAAATAGTCTACTACCAGTGCATTAAGATGTTTTTTTACATTACTAACAGAATGAAGGAGTTGAAGCAAAAATTAGGCGCTCGCTTTCAGTACCAGGAAATCGCAAAAACAGAAGTTTGAGGAGGGCAGATTCAATAGGTGTCATCCGTGTGATTCCAACAACCCCACGACCTGTGCCAGTTGATGCAACCACATCGAACGATGTAATTGAAGAAACAATTGATGGTATAAACTCTTACAATCCTCTACTATGATAACTACACAAATTGAATCTTGCTTCAAAAAAGCACCATGTGCTCATCTGAGTACATTGTTGAGTTCTTTATAGTCCCTGAAGATGGAGGTGAAGATATTCCTGAAGAAGAGGCAGTCTGCAGAATTTGTTTTGTTGAGCTCAACGAAGGAGGGGAAACACTTAAAATGGAGTGCAGCTGCAAAGGAGAACTTGCCCTTGCACACCAAGATTGTGCTGTCAAATGGTTTAGCATCAAGGGAAACAAGATATGTGATGTCTGCAAACAAGAAGTTCAGAATCTGCCAGTGACGTTACTGAGAATACCAACTCAAACTGCAAACAGGCGGGTAGCAAATGCTGCTCAGCAGAGAGCAGCTCAACAATACAGGTAAGATTAGCTTTGTCCAAAAAATAAAATAAGTCAAAGATAGTTGAGAGAGAGGGAGACGGAGAGGGTTCTATCATGCTACATTGATGGACCTATGATGTTTTTACTGCTATCATAATATGGAGATACAACTGTACAATTTGACTTCAGTTCCTAACAGATTTTGGCAGGACATTCCAATTATGGTGATGGTTAGCATGGTTGCGTACTTCTGTTTCTTGGAACAACTTCTGGTTTGTGTCCCTTGCTTACTTCATTTACTAGTGCATTTGAATGTTCAACTGTACTTCTCTTTCCGTTTCTTTTGTAACATTGTCTTTCATTGGAACAGGTTACTGATTTGCAGTCAGGTGCACTGGCAATTTCATTGCCTTTCTCATGTGTGTTAGGCCTCCTATCTTCAATGATAGCATCAACTATGGGTGATCAATTGTACCCTCATCATGTACCTTTCATGCTGTTATAATAAGCACTTGCAGTGTCAAAAAAAAAACTAGTTATTTTATAGAGAAAGGTAGAAGTCATTTCAGTGTTTAGTAAGAGATTAGAGACTTAAGGTATAGTACTTCACCATTATCTGCCCCCATCTGTAACAAGTGCTAAGGAAACAGCGTACTTGATTTAAGTATTTGTGCAGATAACTAAAACTAAATTGCACCTGTTTTTTTTCTCTTAGGGTTGAATTTATGTTATTTGGTGAACTTCTCTTGTTACTTTAAAAGTGTAAAACCCATATTTTCTTTGCTCCAACAGTGTCGAAGAGCTATCTATGGGCCTATGCTTCATTCCAGTTTGCTATCGTTATCCTGTTTGCTCATATCTTCTACAATGTGGTACGAAACTCCTCTTGGGTGACATCTATTGCAGATAAGTATTTGTGTGATGCTGACTATTGACTTGTGATCACATGCAGTTGAGAGTGCATCCAGTCCTCGCAGTCTTACTCTCCTCATTCACTGGGTTCGGTATTGCTATTAGTACGAACTCTCTGCTAGTAGAGTATTTGAGGTGGAGAGCTAGGAGGAATCACCGTTTAGCTCAGCAGGCTGCCAATGCTGCACAGCATCAAGAATCTGAGAATGATGGTGCAAATGACAACAATGGCGCCCGGCAGCAAGGGCACGATGCAAATTCTGGGAACAATGCTGTATGATGATTCAGGTTTGTCAGCAGCAAATTTAAGTAGTGGTTTCTCTTCTTTTTCTCGAGCAGTGCAAAATTCCCATGATCTGTGCGAATGCATGCTAATATGCTCACCTCCTATCTTAATGTTATCTTTTTGCAGATTATGAAATGTTATGGGTGTGAACAGCTGTCTGTACAGTAAGTTTAGCTCATTCAACTCGGCACCAGTCACAAGAAGCTGAAACCTGGAAAAACATATATCTTCATATGCCACGTGGAGGGTGCTCACGGATATAGTTATTATACATCACGCAGAGATGAACCAAAACATGATATGTTTGTGTATTATTAGTCTACTAGTAGTTTGACACCAAATGTATGGGTTATTCATTTTAAGGTTAATAGATCTGATATTACAGAAGTAGTGTACATCGCTAAGCGTGTGCAGCATATAGTTGGGACTTGAGAGCATATCCCCATATATAGAATTATAGATATACGTAAATAAATGAAGTGTAGCTTTCTAGTATTGAGGTTTGCTAGTCAGCACGGAAGAAATATTCAGATTGAATTGTGATACAACTGTCTCAACTGATAACCACAGAATTGATGCAATGCGAGCGATTGAAATACACTAGTGATGTTGGTTCCCTAGAAGATGCTTGTTCTGAAGGTTCTACTAGTAAAGCCATCTACTGGCAACATGTATGAATTTGGCAGACACTTGAACTTCTTCCAGCACAGATCTTACAAGGCACTTTGTTCAGCAGACCAGATGAGAAGTATTATCGCTTATCAATGAAAGTAATAAGCTCATCCAAATGCAGCTAAATCTCATTTGATTTATTTTATCCAAATCTCAGATTTGTAAGGATCAAATTGCCCAAACTCCAAACTTTTTCCTTCAATGTTGTGAGAGTTCTAATAAATTCAGCGAGATCAGACAAACATTATTATAGCATACAGTACATCTTGCTCTAGGAAATAAATTTGCAACTGATAGAATCAACTGCTGAACAATCCGATCCCTTCTAATTGGATAACGAAGTGGAGTGGTTGTGGATAACCTACTGATTGCAAAAGGCTTTCTTGATTTTTTTTATAAAGCTTCCCAATTGCGTGTGTTAGTGCGCTACGGATGCTGAAACTGCTCAACGACAACAGTTAGTACTACCTCCACAAACTGAGCATCGGTTACCCCATTCCATCGTCCTCTTCGGCGGCGCCGGCGCCCACGCCACCGAACCCTCTTCCAGCTTCCTTCCACCCAAGCACGCCAGCCACCCATAGCCCATCGTCGCCGTAGTCCTCCTCCTCCTCACCCCGTTGTACTGGGATTGGATTGGATCAGAGTGGACTGTGTCGGGTACTCGGGTTGGGTCCAGTCCTTTCGCTGGTAACGAAACTTGCTTGGATGGATTGGTTTAACTTGTTGCCAGCAATCAAATTCATTTTCCCACTCCTTTCTCTGCGTCAGTAGGTTGCGGTTGCGGAATCATCTCCTGCGCGGCACACACTGAGTCCTATCCGCCCCTGTTGCAGTCTTGCGGAAGGCAATGGTGGGGTTCGGATGGAGAGTCGGCTCAAAGTTGCAGAGATGGGGCTCGAGCTGCCTCCGGGGCTTCTCTTCTGCTGCAGTTCCGTCTCAGCTGGAGGTGACTATCCATCTATACTATCTTGAATTCTTTCTAGCAGCAACCAGCATCCACGAATCATGATGTCTAGATGGGTTTTCTGGCTGCACAGACTACTACTACTACAATTGCAACGTCTACCATGACTTAATTAAAAAAGGAAGAAGCTTGGAAATTTTTTTCTGACTCAATGTACCTAGTCCTTGTTTAAGGTAGACATGGACACCGCGATCTGCATTGCTGGCTTTCATGAGTTGCTGGTGCTTTTCAGAATGTTGGATTCATCGGACTTGGAAACATGGGCTCCCATATGGCAAGGAATTTGATCACCGCTGGATATAAAGTGACTGTTCATGATATGTAAGTTCCTGCCTATCCTTACATATACTGTTCATGATATGGGTCACAGAGTTCATTGCTTTTTTTTTTCTTCTGGTTCTTATTCGATAACATTGAATCTATCTATCAGAAATGAAAATTCCATGAAGAAATTCTCAGACGATGGAATCCCCACAAAACAATCTCCACTTGAAGTATCAGAGTCGAGTGATGTCATAATTACCATGCTTCCTTCATCTACCCATGTAAGTAGATTGTTTCTGTAACTCCCATTCTTGTCAATTCAATTCTTGATCCACCATTTGGATCATGACATCAGAAGTAGAAGGTAATTATCCTTCTGTGTAGCATGTTCTATATCCAACCATCTTTACAAATATTTAGCTTGTTTCCTGGAACTTTGATTTAGGATATTCAGAGATGCTTTTCAGGTTTTAGATGTATACAATGGACCCAATGGTTTACTTTGCGGGGGCGAACGCCTGGGACCATGGTTATACGTAGATTCATCAACAGTTGATCCACAAACATCAAGAAAGATATCGACAGACATCTTAAGATGCCATTTAAAAGAAAAGAAAGGTTAAGTTCCACCATATAACATTGGAGCCATAATCTACTATTTGCAATTGTCAATTAAAAACTTCAACTGAGTTTAAATGAATGCTGCAAAATTAATTATTTCTGTTACTGGCATCAATTAATACTACGTTCAGGTTACGCTGAAAGCCCTATGATTCTGGATGCTCCGGTGTCCGGAGGTGTTCCTGCTGCAGAAGCTGGCAAGCTAACTTTCATGGTATTATTCTTGGTTCTCGTCATAACTCTAGCTGTTCGGTCAGACTAAAACTATTACATTAATATAGAAGAAATTGATCTTTATTTTTTTGTTTCAAGCAATGATATACAGGTGGGTGGTCTTGAGGAAGCATATTTAGCAGCCAAGCCCTTACTTCTCGCAATGGGGAAAAAGGCAATCTACTGTGGTGGGGCTGGAAATGGCTCGGCAAGTTTTATTAACCTTCATTCTTCACCAAAAAAAATTGTGTGACGATGATTCTGACTCACTCTTGATATTGGGTATTTAAGGCTGCAAAGATATGTAACAACATGGCAATGGCAATCAGCATGCTTGGGGTCTCCGAGGCCTTGGCTCTTGGTCAGAACCTTGGGATCAAAGCAACCACTCTTACAGACATTTTCAACTGTTCAAGCGCTCGCTGCTGGAGTAGGTATTGTCTCTGCTCATCTTATTGCCAGTCTAAGCTGCTGTGACTTCAGAATTTGCTTCCTAAAGAATTGGAAGTGTAACAACCATGATTCAGTTGGGTGTCATGAACTATGGAGATTAAGTTTTTAGCTTCAGCTCGTATGTTGCATCATCTGAATTTTAAGTGGTTTTCTTTTCTGTTGATTTCAACAGTGATACATATAATCCAGTTCCTGGAGTTATGGAAGGTGTTCCATCATCAAGGAATTATAGCGGTGGTTTCACTTCCAAACTAATGGTACAGATTGACACAAATGTTTCCTCGATCAAATTCTACTGTAGAATATTAGGTAGATTACTTCACATAAGGATGAGTTGATGTGTCTAAAAAGATACTCTTATGAATACAAGTGAGTTGCTTGGGAACAGTGTTTACTAGTAGTATTTAATAGCTTGTACTAATAAGTTAGCTTGTGTGGAGTATAGTATCAGATTAAACTTTAACCATGGTTTACATCCCTCTGCTGCAGGCTAAAGATTTGGATTTGGCCATGGCTTGTGCATCTGGAGTCGGCTTCAAATGCCCCATGGGTTCCGAGGCACTTGAAATGTAATACATTTTCCCCCTCTTTTTCATTCTTTTCATGAGATAAGACTTGGTAGAAGATGTTACCCCCTCTCCACTGCTTTGCAACTAAGCTGGTGCCTTCTGCAGTTACCGAAAGCTGTGCGAGGATGGCTGTGAACTCAAAGACTTCTCGTGTGCATTCCGACATCACTATGCTGGCAAGGATGAAGAGTGATCTTGAAGTTACGCTGCAAATTTTCCTCCTTTGAAAATCAATAAAACAAATAAAGTTATTGGAATGCTTACAGTGTAAGCTGTGTAGCGTTATATCAGGAGGCAGAGACATGGTTGTTGAGCTGTAGTGATGATCTGATCACCTTTGTAAAACTGTTATTGGCTTGCTTCTAGGCAATCGGGCAATAGACTGTTCTGGGACAGATTCAACAACCATGAGCCAAGAACCGCCAATTTCCAGCATTTCTGTTTCTGGACCCGTTCGTTTCGCTGAAAAAAATAAGCCGAAACACTGTTCCGTCTGATTTATTGTGAGAGAAAAATACGGTTCCGGCTAAAAAAACAAGCCGAAAAAGACGGATTATAAGAGAAGCGAACAGGGCTAGAAACCCCCTCTGTCTAGGAAAGAATACAATATTTGCGTAGTGTCATGGTTTTATATCTTAAATTCTATCAAATATAGATAAAAAAATATTAATATTTATGATATCAATTATATATTATTAGATTAATTACGAAATATATTTTTATAATAAATTATTTTGGAGACGTAAATGTGAATAGTATTTACTAGAAAATTGGTCCAACATGAACTGCTCTTCATGAACTACTCTTCTTTCGATGGTACGTAGCACAATGTATTCTTTTTTTATGGTACGCAATATGTAGATGTATTCTTTTCTGTACAGAGGAGCATGTGCATCAGAATATCAGATAAGATAGAAACGTCCCGCTTTCGTCTGCCGCTGTGCAGTGCTGCACTTGCACGCCAGTGGTCACTGGTCAGTCACACCCGTCGCCCGTGCCAGCGGCTCCCGTCAAGGTAAGAAGAGGAGCGTGTGTAGTAGACTAGTAGTAGTTTGTTGCGCGACGGCTCCAACGAAGAACCACTGCAGCAAGCGCCGGGCCGACGGCAGCGGCGGCCGCCGAGGGCGGTGGTGCGGGCGAATCTAAACCCAGCTAACCAATAGTCCAATACACAACGGCACGAGTACTAGCCTACTCTTCCAAAACAATGCGCTTCGTTATTATAGGACTTCAAACATCGACTTTGCTAAAACGATCCTAGAAACGTTAGCACTTTGTTATACATGACATTTGATCTTTTTAATCACTTTTCTCAACTAAAATATATGTATTTTACTATGATGTGACCATATTGCTCTCAGGGCTTCAATTGACGTGGGATGGGGCTGCTGGCCGCTCGCCTGACTGGCCGCGGGTAGGACTGCAACAAGAACGTCGACGTGTTTGATGCAGCATGGCTCGCATCAACGCTTATTCCCTAGCGCCGCTTTTTTTTTGCTACGCTTTTGTCGTGTACCGGCTGGCGCGTACAATGTCGCCGGCTTTGAGCGAAGCACGACGGCCGGACGGACTTCGTCCGGCGCGTTCGCTGAGGCTCGGTCCGCCGCTTGCCGGGCCACGGAGCCGGCGACCGTGCACGCGTGCCGAACGGCACTTCCTGTTCTGCTCGGCCGGCGGCCTTTCATCGACCATGCTCCAAATAGGTGACGCTTCAGTCGATGGTACGCTTGTTGCGCCATCAGCTACACCAAAAGGGGGGCGACGGCCGGATCGTGTTCGACCACGCCGACGGCCTCACCGCGTGTCGGGCGGCACTGTCGACGGCCAACTGGGCGAGGCGCCGTATGCAAAGGTCTGCCGGCACGCAGCGGGTGCCCCAGTGGAGCAACAGTGAGTTGCCATATCACATCACATGCATCTTATTCTTGCAAGTGCATGCTGAAGTGCAAACATGCATGACACCACAAATATAAAGTGTTCCTCTTGATCGACTTGGTGCGTCGCCATCGGCTGAAGGTGCTGAACTCGAGGGACGTGGTGATCAGCGGCCTGACCTCGGTCGACAAATGAGAGCTGTACCACGTCGTGATCGACGGCTGCGAGGGCGCCACGGTGCAGGATTTACAGATTGTCGCGCCGAAGCAGCCCCAACACGGACGGGATCCACGTGCAGGCCTCGTCCCAGTCACGGTCACCCGGACCAAAGATCCAGACCGGGGACGATCATGCCATCAGCCACGTAAGCTCCGAGGGCAATACGGTTACATTATGATAATATATATATTTTTATTAAGAAAAGTAATTAAAAAGATCAAATATTATATATATATATAACAAAGTGCTAATATTTTGATGGTCATTTTAGCGAAGTCAATATTTGAAGTCATATAATAACGAAATGCATTATTTCACGTCTTATAATTATAATCTTTTCAGCACGAGAAAATTACGGACATGAAACAATCCGCTTCTTTGTTATAGGACTGGTAGGGCCTTGTTCAGATGCCATTCAAATTCCAAATTTTTTCACTCTTTTTTCATCACATTAATTTTTAGTCATTTGTATGGAGTATTAAATATAGGTAAAAAAAAACTAATTACACAGTTTAGTTGGAAATCACGAGATGAATCTTTTGAGCCGAGTTGGTCCACGATTGAACAATATTTACCAAATAAGACGAAAGTAGTACTATTCATCGGGTTGAAAAATTTTGCAAAGTGAACGAGGCCTAGGTCCAGGAGAAAAAGAAGGGGCCTACTTGGAAAGGTGAACAGCCGCTCTCCCCGAGATCCAAACCCCCACACCCGCGGCGCCGGCGACGGAGGGAGGAGGCGATGCACGGCCGGCCGCGGCGCCCGGCCAAGCCTGAGGACGAGGAGGCGGCGTCAGCGAAAGCCGCCAAGCTCCGGGACCTCCAGGCCCAGGTCCTGCACAATCACCATGCCCGCACGTAAGCTGCCGCCCGCCCGTACTACACCCTCTCCCCTCTCCTTGCTCCGCCTAGCACTGGTCGATTCTGGCAACCTATAGGATTAGCATGATAGAGCTTCGGTTAGCTCTCATGGCTTGGCGAATTTTCCTGCGGAGGAAAGATGCAAATTCTATTGCTCCGTTCACGCTGTGTTGCCCTGCTTCTTTCTTGAAGCTATGAAAGGCCCGCGGTTGCCTCATTGTTCAATTGGAGATCCTCATTACCTGGCCTGGTGCATATCATTGCAAATTATCGGTCGCTTAATCAGTCATAAAAAAAAAGAAACATTGGATGTCATATCCCAGTTGCAATTTCACCTCTCTTTTCCTTGTCCGACAAAGTAAAAGATCCCAAATTCAATCTTCCAGAGTAGTGCTTAATAACACACTGGACTTATTTAAACAATGGCTGGGGCCTGTAGGTACACTAAGGAGGCAATTGGGCTGAGCTTCAAGCTGCTCGAGATAAATCCAGAGGCCTACACCGCATGGAACTACCGGAAGCTTGCGTTTCAGCACAATGTCAAGGAGCTTTCTGACCCGGAGGCCATCAAGTCTGCTGTTGATGATGAGCTGAGAGTGGTTAGTTCTCTGATCCATCAACACTCTTGTATCAATTAGAAGTAGAGCTTTTGTGTTTTTGTGCTTTAGTTGTTCCTGGCACCCATTGCAATTGCCTACTTAGATGATGCTCAAATTTGGAATTTTCGAAGGTTGAGGTTGCTTTAAGGCAGAACCCAAAGTCCTATGGGGCTTGGTATCACCGGAAGTGGTTGCTAAGCCAAAAGCTAGCACCTATGGATTTCAAACGTGAGTTTGGCCTCTTGGATAAACTGTTGAAGGTGGACGCCAGGAATTTCCATGGATGGAATTACCGAAGGTAGGTTTCTGTTGTTGGAGATTACAGTCAAGATAGTCTGCTTGGATTGATTCCCCCTTTTTACAGGTTCCTTGCAAGATTCATGGGTGTGCCAGATGAGGATGAGCTAAAGTATACGATGGATAAAATCAGCGACAACTTTAGTAATTACTCAGCATGGCATAATCGTAGGTATACAATTGTTATTTATGGTCATTCTTTCTGTATAATATTGTTTATGGCGTTCTTTCTAAATGCTTACTCTGACTCTTTCATATGTCCATGTGGTGATGTTAGAATTTTTTTGTTCTAAAAAAAACTATACTTGGTGATGATGGATGATTAATGAAAACAAGTGTAATCAATAACAGTCATTTGAGTGAGAAATGTAGTCTGCTCCACCTTTAGTTTTTGGCTATAGTGAAATAAGCACTAATTACTAGCAAACTTAGCTGCCACTTTATAGCAATGTGATTGCATTTCATATTTTCATATTAAACAGCAGATGAAAACGATGTGTTTAGTCTTTTGTAATTTGTACTGTAAATTGATATGCTGCTTTCTTCCTGTAATTGGCAAAGGATATTTCGATTGCCTTGTATGACCCTTTGGTCCTATTTGCCTCATTGTGTCGTATTGTGTTTACTTGTTGGTTTTGGTACCAATCTTGAAATAATATATTTGCTGCAATTTCATTCTCATTCACCTTTTTGGCAGTATACTTCTGTCCAACCTACTAATCCAGCAGAACAAAGGTTTTGAGTCAAAGCAGAAGATTTTTTCCGAGGAGTTTGAACTTGTTACTCAAGCTCTTTTTACGGATCCGAGTGACCAAAGTGGATGGTTCTATCACCTCTGGCTTTTAGCTCAAACGTCTAGTCCAGATAACCCACAGCTGATTGCTTCGTGGCCTTCTAGTGCTGCAAAGCTCACTTCCTCTTTGATCAAGGAAAAAGATGAGCAGCACACACTGTCATCTATCTGGTCAAGGGCTGTACCCATTGTTCTTTATTTTAATGAGCCTGTCAAAGGATTAAATCAATCAAGTGTGAACTTAAAGTCTGATTTGGAGTTTGATAAGGATATTCAATGGAGGCCCCTCACAATGGCAGACTCTGGGTATTCTAACTGTTGGGCGACATATCTCCAAATTACAAATGAATGTAGCAGTTTGCAGGAATATTCTGTTGAAGTGAGCTTACCCTGCTCGGATGACATTGTGTCTAGAAGTGGCTCTAATTACAGTTGTCCTGTGCATTTTACATTTAACATTGAATTGATCAGCAACAACACAGCCCAGGGTTTAGATCTATTTGACAAGCCAGTTGCCTGGAATTGCTCAGAATCATTCCCGTCTCATGGAAACCGTGATCCTATCCCTTTTGATCTGCTAAAGATCACTAGTGCTTTGGTAGAACAGGACACAAATTGGCATTTTGAAAGACTATCTGAGGAGATAGATCTTTTCAGAGAGTTACCTGATGACAATAGGTTAGGCTCTAAATTCATTCTGAAGCTGTTTTTTCATAATTATAACCTCATTCCCATAACATACTCTCTTTTCCAGCAACTTTGGGAAGTTGACATTAGCCCGGCTATTGCTTGCTTGTGCTGCTATAAAATCCCGTGGAAGATCTCTAACTGAAAGGAAGGGATACTGTGAAGAGGCACTGGGGCTCTTCACTGACTTGATTCACCTGGATCCATCTCATAAGCAATACTATGAGGATGAACGGAGCTTAGTCCTGATGGATAAGGTAGCGTAAAGCATATTTGAAGAGACTTTGCTAAGGGATAATGTGCTGCTGTCTAACTTAACTTTTTCTTGCAGTTAACATGTGACATGGAGACTTTCATGAAGCACTGTTCAGTTCAGGTTCAACCAAATTCAGCTCCCCTGAATCATGTGCAACTTTGCAGATTGTCTTTAACACGCATTGGATTTGCTGAACGCCTGTTGTGGGTTCAAAAGCTGGACCTAAGCCGTAATAGCCTTAGATCAGTCGAAGGTTAGCATTTGAATCATCTCTCTTATGTCCACTTCAAGAAAAGAAATTATGATATTTTAACAGTGTAACAAGGCCTGCGAATTAGCTTCTCAAATGCAGTTGGCCTCCGATAGCTTCTCAAATGCAGTTGCAGAACTGATAACTATATTAAACTAATTTCTATTTATGAGATAATTGGCTTAGTCATTTGCAAATGCCTGAAGGATAAGATTTGAGAAATGGTGGCTTTGGCATGCTAACTTTTTGTTCTTTTAAGGTTTGGAGGCTTTGCAGCACCTTGCGTTCTTGAACATCAGCAACAACCAGATCAGTAGTTTCACAGCACTTGAACCCCTTACGAAGATAATCTCATTGAAAGTTCTGGATTTATCCTTCAACAAAATTGGAGCTCACTCAATTGACACAACACGGTATATCTGCTCGTCTCCATTCTCACACAAAATCGAATCAAGTGAAGCTTTTGAAGAGTACCAGAAGGTAAATATCAACGTGGAGGAATACTGGGACGCTATACTGTTCTTCAGATCTCTGAAGTTGGCACAGCTTGATATCAAAGGAAATGCAGTTGCCAGCAAGGAGAACTTCAGAACTCTTGTCATGACGCTCATTCATTGCCTAAAATGGTTTGATGGTGAAGATGTCAATTAATTGATGGCTTTCACTTAAGAGTTGTGCAAACTTGGGTAGAGTCATGGCTCACGCTGTAAACTAAATTTTGCTAGAAGCCATTGATTTGCTTCATATGTACTGCTATATTTGTTTAAGCGAATCTGAGACCCAAATATGATGTTACAGAGTTCTGAATTTCCATGATTGAACTGTCATAGATCATACAATACAAGAAAGAAGATGTTATCTAATTGCAAGTTGTTCTACTTTCAGAAATTTTCAAGTTCAAAATAGAATAGAGGTACACTGCTACCATTTACATTTTTGTAGTGAGCGTTGCTCTCTGGCTGAGGTTATCTGTCAATGATGTTGTAATTAAACTTCGGGAGTTTTAATGCAGTTATGTACTACTACAGAATTTTCTGTCCCTCTTTTTACGAGGCTCTTGCTTCTAGTGTTGCAGTCCCAGATTTCACAAGTTCAACAATTTGTAATTTCTGTTGATATGCACTCTTCTGAACTCCTGTTTTTGTTGATAACTGTAGCTCTGAAATTAATTAAAGACTATGGAAAATTAACTCTACATCATAATAGGAAATAGAAATGCTCATGTGTGAAGTACTTCACAGCTGCATCAAATCTTTCAATACCTAGAAACTCCACCAATGGCCCAATAGTTGCCAAACGCACTGTGAAATGACCATGGTAAAAGTTTTCAAATAAACAATTTTCTTCAAAGATGTCAATGAGTACAACCAAAAAGACATGCAGGGCCTCTCTCAGATAACAGAATTGGGCAATTGGCTGCAAACTAAGTCTCAGCGAGACCTAAGAATGTTATAAAGGGTTCATCTATGCTCAATAGCTTAATAACAGAAGCACAAATCATTCCAAACACAGGAGCGACATCTTCTCTTCAACGGAGCAATCAACCTGGCAAGACGACCGGCAGGCGGCCGGGATGAGGATGAGCCCCAGGCAGCGCTGCTCCGTGGGAGGCGAGCAATGGCGGGCGGCGCTGCGGTACTCCACGGCGTCCTGGAGGATGATGTTGCCCTGCTTGTCGATGCAGTGGAACAGGCCGTGGAAGTAGCGGCCGTCGTTGACGCCGATGAGCATCCGCCGGAACAGCAGCTTCCGGAGCTTCGCGACGGCCGGCGAGCTGCTGCCAGCAGCGTCCACGGGCGCAGCGGAGCTGTTGCAGTACGCGTCTCCGGAAACCGGGATCGCTTGGGATGGCCCTGGTGGTCCTCCTTCCATTGTGCCAAGAAGGATCCCCCCTCTGGTAGATGAGCATGGCATGTATAACAGGTTAAAGAAAAATTGGATATCTACTGCTGGACTCTGGTTCGCAGAATTAGTAGACAAGAGTTGATGCCTGGTTTACTTAAGAATCTCGATGGGAGGGGTGGATAATTTCTGCAGAAAATCTTGAAGTTGGTAGGAATGATGTTCTAATTGGGTCAGATCCGAATACAGATAGCTTACGCTAGGGTTTGGGGTGCTCGGTTTCGAACAGTAGGAAGGGAGGAGAAGGATCGGGAATACCTGTTGGTGCTCGTCGCCGGCGAAGACGGCGGAGAGCGGCGGCGCTCGCCCGGTCGGCGCCCGAGGAAAGAAAAGGCGAGAGAGAGATAGAGAGAGAAGGGCCCACTAGAGCCTGGGTTGGACTTGGATTATCCAAAGTCTCTTTGCATTCCTTGGACTATTTAACTGGACCTGCAGTCCAGACTTGAGTGGATAGTTGGTCGGGCCAAAATCCAAGACCCAATTTGGACATCAATAATGATACGCCCCCAGCGACGTTTCGAAATGCGTCGTCACCACCACCCGCATCTGTCCTCTACGTCGTCACCGCGCCCAACTCCGATCTTTGCATGCCGCCGCCTTCGCCCCCACCCGTCCCCTTTGCGTCATCGTACCCGCCCCACCTTGCCCTCTACGCATCGACGCCCAACTCCGTGCAATATCGCCTTTTGCGTGCCGCCGAGCTCCGCGTTGTCGGCGAGTTCCACGTTACCGAGATCCGCGCCACGGGCAAGCTCCATACACCGCCACCGAGCTCTGCGTGCCAATGAGCTTCCGTTTGCCATGTTGCTCTGAAAAGCCTAGTTGCGAATCCATGTTTCGAATGTTTTATATGTTTTGAGCATATGTTGCAGCGCATGGTGCAGGTGTTGTATTGCAAGGACATGTTGCTCTAAAAACCGTTTCAATTGTTTCAAGTGTTTCAAGAGCATGTTGTAGGAGCTTCAAGCGCATGTTGCAAGTGTTTGTGTTTACAGATGTTGCAACAACGATGTTATATATGTTTCAACAATAATCTGGGCATGTTTCAGTAGTACATCGCCGATGTTGCAGCAACATTATTGTACATGTTTCAATACTAATCCGAATATGTTTCATTAGTACATCGTCGATGTTGCAGCGGTGGGCCCCAAGGGAGTCCGTGCGGAAGCCAACATCCTCTGCGCGCCGCTGCCCCCACCCGTCCTCTGCGTCGTCGCCGCGCTCCCACCCCGCCCTCCGCGCGCTGTTACCACCCTCCCCCTCCCGTTCTCTGCGTTGTCGCCGCGTCCCATGCTGCCCTATGCGCGGCATCGCCCAGCTCCGTGCGGCGTCGCCTTCTACGCACTGCTGAGCTCCGCGTCGCCGGCGAGCTCCACTTTGCCGCCGAGATCAACGCTCGAACGCTCTGTCCCGAAACATGCATGCTCCTGTCCTTTGCGCACTGATGCCGTGTCCCACCTATACTCTGCGTCGTCGCCGGCCCCAATGGGAAACAGAGGAGCCGCGGGGTGTCTGGACGCGGGCGTTTGTCCGGATGTTCGGACGCTAGTCATTCCGTTTGGACATGTAGAGTTGTAGACAGAAAACAAAGACGAATGGGCAAGGGAGTCACGTCGTGCAGTTGTGCTTGGCATTGCTGCCATGGAGAAGGACCGGAGCAGGCCGAAGTGCCTCAGCTCGTAGCAATGGAGGAAGAAGGTTGGGGGAAAACTATCTAGAGCTAGCATGAAAACTATCTAGAGCTGCCATTGGGTTTGTGTCGCTCGGTTGAAAAAAAGTACGAATACGTCTAGTCCCTCCTCTCATCCAGAATCATAGCTAAAAGATCATTTATTTTGAAATGGAATAAGTATAACAAGTTCTAACTCAAAGTCTCATGTTTTAGCGTGACAAGTGTACATGAATGCAGAAATGATATCAATATATATTGAAATACGATGAAAGATAAATGAATTATATTTACAACGGACCGTTCGCTGGGAGGAATTTGGAGAAATCTAGATGAATCTATAAGATGAATCAGCCGTGAACAGTGTTTTTCAGCCATAAACAATACCAATTTTAGTACCAGCCGAACGCAGCCAACATCGGTATGTACAAAATCATAAAGATGGGGCATAAATAAGATGAAAATTTTGAAATTCCAGTGGACGTGCCTCATTCTAAGAGCTTGCCTAACGCTACAGCATGGTGTGCTGCCCCAACACGTACGCCTGCACTAGATGTCCATGCCACAGCTACTTGCAGCCTTGTAGTGTGATAGGGATCCTGCAGAAGAGTCGACGGCCTCATCTGAGGAAAAAAAACGAAGTAGCTAGAGTATGCGTTGTGGCGATGGAGCATTAGCCTGTGGAGCAGAGAAACGCAAATAAACGCTCCGTTCGCTTGTTCGTTTCAGTCAGGCTAAATCAGTCAGCTAATATTATTTTTCTCTCATAATAAACTAGCACCAGTCAGCCAAAACCAGCCCAGAAACTAATTAGCGATCAGGCCAAAAGTGTTTTTTGGGACAGAGTTAGGGGCACATGGACAAAAAAGAGGGAAGATGGGGCTGTGTGCTTCGGTTGGAGAAAACGTTGGCTTCGGTAGCACTTTTCATACATGCAACACATCTTTTTACTGGAGCTGTTGATGCTATATGCCCACGTTGCTGCTGCCCTTAGGCAACCGACTAAGGTCATGTTCGTTTCTCTTATAATCTATTTTTTAGCTTTTTTTTAGCTGAAACTGTGTTTTGCTCTCACAACAAATTAGCCGAAACAGTATTTTGTTTGTTTTTTCAGCGAAGCGAATAAGGCTTAAGAGTTCGAATCCTAGAAAGATACATCAATACATATTTATTTCCACGTCATTCACAAAAAAATTATTTCAATGTTTAAAGCTATGTAGTCATAACTTTATTATGAAAGTTGTTAAGATCATAATTTTGAATCGGATCATATTCATTTTATTGTTTGCATGAAAAATCGAATTGAATAAGATAAATAGTTAAACATGATATCGAAAAGTAAAAAATATCATCTATTTTGGAACGGACCGAGCATTGTTCTAAGTAAACGAAAGATCATTATCTACAATGACTTTCAATATGAGCCAACATTTATTTATTTTCTCTCAAGGGGTCACATCAACATAATTAAAGACCGAATACATAAAAAATAAAAACCCAACTTGCTGCTTGTTTTGCTCCTCACCCACCTCACAAGAACAGCTCCGATTGGCTTGGTTCTTTCCTCAGCGCTTGTTTAGATCCACTAAAAGTTACTCTGTTCGGGTCTGCTAGCTGGAAAAACGGCTGATGCTAATGCTGATTTGTTATGAGAGAAAAATACTATTATTTCGCTGAAACGGTACGATTGATAGGATCAAGCGAACAGGGCCGATCATCTCTAATTACAAGATTTTTTTTAATGTTGTTTTTGTTATGCATTTATATATACAATATATCTAGATATATAATAAAAATAATATATATCAAGAAAAATCAAAACATTATAATTTAGAACGGAGGAAGTAGCAACTAAATTAATACCAGTGGATTTAAATATACTTGTTAATTATTAGCTGGAGGGATGCTAACTATTAGTTCCATTAGCTTGATTTGAAGTTGCTATTATATATTAATATAGTTTATGGCCCCGTTTGGATCAGTTTCAGATTCTTAAAAACCAGTTTTTGCCTCTAATTTCTAAAATATGGATTCTGAGCAAAAACTAGTCGGGATGTTTAGATCCTCAACCTTTTAAGAATATGTCTTTATTTATTGCTCTATAGGTCATAAGAAATTGGCAAAGTCTGGGTATCAAAAGATTTCTGGTTTTTAAGAATATGGCAAAAACTTACCGCAAAAAATAGTCCTATTTTAATCTCACTCAGTTTCCAAAAGCCATATTCTTAGAAACTGATAAAAACAAGAGATCCAAACAGAGGCTATTATCTAACTTGAACTTAGTATCCAACCATCTATTAAATAGAGGATCCAAACATACTTTTATTCTAAGCACGAGCCAATTTCGAAAATTGAGTTGATTTTTTCTCTGTATCTTAAAGTTGCTAATCGTTGATCTAATTCATGAATCTGCCATGGTGGAATGAGTCGGTCACTTCAGATTAGTCGGTCACGTGAGATAACTAATGGTATATTCCTCAGTCTCTAAATGTTAGTCACCATAATTTGCGTACCGATAACTTTGACTCGATTTATAGAAAATACATGTAATATTTTTATCTTCAAATAAATTTATTAAAAAATTAGATTCAAATATCTATCAATGATACTAATTATGTATTATAAATATTAATATTTTTAATATATATTTAGTTAAAATTATTTCTTGAGAAGCGAAAAAGACAGACGGCTGGTTTACTGCTGACTTGTTTCAGCTTATTCTCTCACAGAATACTATTGAATCGTCCGAAACCATCCAAAATCCATCACAAGAAGGTAACAAAGTAACACACCTGCACCTAAGTTTAGCGACGGAGTGAGGACTGCTTGTCACACCTCGCTCATCGCCATACGGGCGATAGGTGCGATGGAGTCTGAGCCATGAGGAGCTGAAAATCGAATCTCGGCCGCTCCGCTGCCAAGGCCTGTGAGGCCAGTCTCAATGGGTTTTTCATAGAGTTTCATGGACATTAAATATGCTAACATGGCACTGTCATGATAAAGAGAGAAGATAAAAGTTTCATGGGAGTAGAGAGAGTTTCATAGGGATGAAACTCTTCTGCACTGTTTTTAAAATATGAGTGTGTTGGAAACTAGAAGATAAAACCTCCACTAAGACTGACATGAGAGAGCAAAGGAGGAGGAACCTGTTTGAGACTTTTCCCTGTGTGCCATTATAAAAGATCGTAATCCTCTCTGTGCCCCTGGAAAAATTCAGTGGTCTTCAGCGCCACTACTTCAACTTTTTCGGGTCCTCCATGCCACTTCCATCAGTTTAAACGCCGTCAAACTCTGAGTGTGA